ACTAAATTTGGGGGTACTTTGTTATTGTGGCAAGACATAAATCATACAATTAATATACAAGTTAGGTGTGCTGTTATTTTCACTTAATTGACAATTTTATATCACTTTTTTTAACAACCAACTGGTGATCTCATCTATACATCTATTAGAATAACAAGATCCATTTAAGGCCTGAGCTCAGCTTAGAAGATTTTGCTGCTACACGCTATTACCAAACACTGGAAAGATTAATGTATCTGGAGATCAGAGAGATGTCTGCAAAACACTGATGGCTGACTCAAGCTATGGCAGATATTTGTTTATATACAAAAGCTTTAAGCTCTGGACTCCTAGTTTAACATACACACACACACACACACACACACACACACACACACACACACACCAGTTCCTCTGGAGGGTTTGTGCACTGTGATTACCTGTTATATATCACAGACCATATTTCCAAAAATATGTGTTGTATCACTTATTTCATATAGCATCTAATGCTTTTATGTACTCCATAGTACATGAATAAAGATACTGTAGGAAAAAAAACTGTAGGTTTCACTTTTTTTCTCTTTTATTCATCTTCCTAGTACACAAAATTTTACTCTGAAAATTTCTGTTCCTTCTATACTTGATCCTTTCTTGTACTGACTCTTTAACTCCCTGTCTCTTCACCTACTAAGACATTTTACTTTTAGGGAAAATCTATTAGTGATGGAATAAATGTAAATTCTTCTACAATTTGGATTCAAACTACCTTTCTATCCTCTCTGTCATCCTGCTGCCCCATGCAAACCTTTCACACTGGCAAAAATATCCCTTTCCTGTGCTTCACATATTTCTGCTTCTGAGGATTGCACTCAAGCCATTTCTTCCCACAAGAGACCCCTTCCTCTCGGCTCAGGCATGTCTTTTTACCCTTCAGACCCAAGCTCTGTTGTGTTCCATGAGGTTTTCCATCGCTGTCATAATGACCCATTTTTCCTTTTCTCAACTATTATAGCAATCTTTTTTTTATTACCCCTGTAGTTCCCAGGACATACAGTTCTCTTTTTCCTAATGTTTGTGCCTGATTAACATCACCCTCCCCTACACCTCACTCTCTAAACACACACAGATGAGCCTCCTTCCCCTCTGTCCATCTAGCCTTTGAGTTCTCAGAAGTCAGGAATGAAGTCAACTTTGTCTTCTCCACAGCTTAACTTAGCACTGCTCATTCTTTATAGGTAGTACTTGCTCGGGGAAGAAGGCCAGGAAAGAGTACACCCCTCTCTGGAGAAGATGGGCCATAGTGAGTGGGGGGGCCAAGGCCCTCAGTGAGGCTGTAGAGACCTGGTTGTTTAATATTACCAGCTGAAAGTATCAATATTTAATATTGGGTATTTAAAGTTTTGTCATCTGGACCCGGAGGGTAGAGTGGTGGGTAAGTTGAATACAGAAAGTGGAAAGGAAACAAACAGGAAATACTTGGAATTCAGTCTAAATAGTTTTAGGGACCCGGAAGAGAAATCAACCCCATGATGATCATCAAATGGGGAAAAATCAGGAAGGGTTTACAAAGAAATGTCCCAAAACACATATGTAAGAGCCAGAATTCTGTGTTGATCAAGAGACAAGACCTAGGCCAGATTCATGTTTTGACAAGAAAGAAAAATAAGCTCAAAGTATGGGAAACCAATGACTCTGAGAAGGGTAGCAGGAAACCATCTATGATCAGAGTTAAATTACCCTAAAACTGTGCAGAATTTTTGAAAATTATACCACAATTTTGTCTATGAATATAAGACAATATCTTACGTAAAATGTTAGTAAACAGAATTCATCATCACCTGTGGTTTAGTTCAGAAATATATAAGTATAGTTCAATATTAAGGAATATACTTATCAGAAGTACTAATATTATGTATCAGAAATATTATAGGATCTTCTCCATAGATTTTTAAATGACTTTTAACAAGATCCAACACCTATTATTGGTAACAAATCTCAATAAAATCAACAATTTCTCAACATGACGATATCTTAATATAGGCAGTATTACCCAATGCAATTTAAACAAGTAGATAAACAGGAGCCATGAAACTAGGAGATCATACTTTTCTAGACTTTTTTTTATTATAAAGCTGACAGTCCTGTGAGATTCAACTAAAAATGTACTACAAGTAATAATATACTTCAATAAAAAAATTGTGGAAGAAAAGTAGCATGCAGAAATTAATTTCCTTCAGAAATAGAAGCAACAAATAACTGAGGTGTGCAATAAAGGTAAATCTAACCAATAATGGAAACAAAAAACACTTAGAAATAAATTTAACAAGAAATGTATAAAATCTTTATAGGAAAAACATTAAAACATCCCTAAAGAACACATACACATACACACACACAGATTTTTATTATACTATGTTTTTGAATAAAAAGATTCAAAATTGTAAAGATTTCTGTTCTACCTAAGGTAATTTAAAATTTAATATAGTTTCCATTAAAATATTAATAGTATTTTTCACTTTGACTTGGATTTCTCTGGACTACAAGCAAATCAAGTTTGTCCTGAGAAATAGGACAACGGCTTCTCGAATGTTCCCTTTCCCCCTCTACTGAGTCAGAATGTGGGGCTAATGTGAGGATGAGGCCAAGAAGAGTGGTACATTTCTAGTGGAGGGTGAAAAAAGAAGAGGAAAGGGGAGAAAGAGAAGAAGAGAAGGAATGAGGATGGAGAGAACATGAGGATTCTTCATTAAAAAATGAAACAAGAGAAAAATACCCAGGTAACTTCTTAGAAGAGCAATGAAGGTATCAGATACTAAAACCCATTATAAAGCCTCAATAATTGCCACAGTGTGCATTGTAAACAGAATGGTAAAAAAAAAATATAAAATTCATGAAGAGACCCAAATACATATAAGAAAGTTAATATATAATAAAGATGTCACATTGAAATCAGTGGGATAAAGATGAACCTTTAAATAAATGTGCGAGACACTTGGCTGTATTTGCCACAACCAGAAGTACCTGAGAGCAATAATCTTTTAAAGTGACAAGGTTAAAATATGTTTCTCAGAAACATATCAGAAAAATCAGTAATATGTTGACGTGCAGGTTCCAAGACTCTGTTTGAATCACCCACTAAATTAAAAATTTTTAAGGTAGGTCCTGAGAACTTGCATATTTACCAAGTTTCATTGGTGATTCTGATGGACATAAATTTGGGGATCTCTCATTTAAGTCATTTCTGCCTGCTAACTCAGTTCTCCTGTCTCACAGAGCAGCCTTGGGCCTCCATGGCAGACACCCTCTCTCCCCGGTGCCTGTCTTTCCCTAATAATTTCCCTCCGAAGATTGGAAGCTGGTTCTCCATGTCTTTCTACTTTGAAAACTCACACTTCTTTTTGGAATATCAGCAAGGTTTCTATTCTCTGAGGGAAGCTTTTGAATCTCCATTTGTGTAGGGAACAGAGTGAGCCAATAGACCTTGTGTCTAACAACTTGCTTTGAGGTTACCTCTACAAGGTTCTCTTTGATAGCATATTGCTACCTATAGGATGTTATCATTATTCAAAATTCTACATACCATGGAGAGCAATAAGAAATTAATTCCTGATCACCAAAATCAGTTATTTTTTCAATGTTCATCAATTTTCATCATTGGGCTGATAAACTCATTCATACTATGCTACAGATAATTGATATTTCTGCCAACGTAATATTCAGTCATAGCAAATACTTTAAGCAAAGAAGATAATTTCAATATAAATTATTGAGGGGTGTTTGTATAAACATTTGTATTACATTTTCATTGCCAAATTCTTTCTTTCTGCAATGTAAAGATTGCCATGGTAGTGGCTACAAACTGGGTTTCACAGATTGCATTTGGAAATGTACAATTAAAAAATAAATAGCAAACCTCAAGTGGTGGTCTCATAGTGTATGTTTAATAGTATGAGAGAGTATCAAAGAACTGATGGCTTTTGAGTGGAGGGAAGATCGCCTTCCCATCTAAATCTGTCACAACCATCATGCGTAGGAGTTTCAAAGCACCTAAAGCAGAGATACAGTTGAGGTAGGAAAACCATTCCAGAGCAGAACAGGCAGCAGGGATTTCAGAGAGCAGTTCCAGCATTTGCCCAATCCTTCACTGTAATGTGAAACAAAAAAGTTTTTAAATTTAGACAAGAAGGTGCCTGGCCAGTGTGTCTCAGTTAGTTAGGCCATTGTCTGGCAAACCAAATGGTCGTGAGCTGGATTCCCTGTTAGGGCAGAAGCCAGGGTTGTGGGTTCTGTCCCCAGCCAGGGTGCATGCTGATCTATGTTTCTCCCTCACATCAATGTTTCTCTCCCTCTCTTCCCTGCTTCCCTTCTCGCTGGAATCAATAAAAGAAAAAAAAATTTAATAAAATATACAGAGTGAGAGACAATAAGAAAAATCTTCCAAAATGTGAACCCTGAGCAGTTATAGTTAAAAGGGCTGGAGAAACTCTCTAATTGAGATAAAATTGATAGTTTTAGTACAAGGACATAGAAGATTAGCTGCACATTATTCAGAACACGGAGCACTATAAAAAATGCTCTGTGGAAAACTAGGTTCTCATGTTAAAAAGAACAAGAAAAGACAATTCTGAAAAGAAGAAATGCAAAAGGATAATAAAATATGAATTAATCCCACATTTCTAATAATATTTTTACCAAATTATCAACAATTTAAAAATGAAAATAATGAGCTTTTCTGTAGAAGATAAAATTCAGTGGAAATTTAATTCCTAAGTGAGTTTCCACCACTCTTCTTGAAAGCAATTTAGGGGTGTGGGGGTTTTTTGTTTTGGGGGAGGGTACAGTGAACTTTATTGATGGTGAATGACAAGGCAGGGCTCTCGAAGCCCCTCCCCTCTTCGGGGGGTCTAGGATGGAAACAAGGTCTGGAGATTCTCAGTGTGTTGGGGGATCGATTTGGAGCAAGGACTCCCCAGCAGCTGAGGGTCTCTCTTCCTGTCACTAGAGCTGGTGGTCCAGGGGGCTCTTCCTCCTTGGAGGCCATGTGGACCACAAGGTCGACCACCCTGTTGCTGTAGCCAAATTCATTGTCATATCAGGAAATGAGCTTGACAAAGTGGTCATTGAGGGCAATGCCAGCCCCGGCATCGAAGGTGGAGGAGTTGGTGTCACTGTTAAAGTCGCAGGAGACAACCTGGTCCTCAGTGTAGCCCAGGATGCCTTTGAGGGGGCCCTCTGATGCCTGCTTCACTACCTTCTTGATGTCATCGTATTTGGCAGCTTTCTCTAGGCAGCAGGTCAGATCCACAACTGACATGTTGGGGGTGGGGACACGGAAGGCCATGCCAATGAGCTTCCCATTCAGCTTGGGGTTGACCTTGCCCACAGCCTTGGCAGCGCCAGGAGAAGCAGAGATGATGCTCTGGGCAGCCCCTCGGCCGTCACGCCACAGCTTCCCAGAGGGGCTGTGCACAGTCTTCTGGGTGGCAGTGACGGCATGGACTGTGGTCATGAGTCCCTCCACGATGCCAAAGTTGTCATGGATGACCTTGGCCAGGGGGGCCAAGCAGTTGGTGGTGCAGGAGGCATTGCTGACAATCTTCATGGAGTTGTCATACTTGTCGTGGTTCACACCCATCACAAACATGGGGGCATCGGCAGAAGGGGCAGAGATGATGACCCTCTTGGCTCCACCCTTAAAGTGAGCCCCAGCCTTCTCCATGGTAGTGAAGACACCCGTGGACTCCACGACATACTCAACACCAGCCTTGCCCCATTTGATGGTGGGATCTCGCTCCTGGAAGATGGAGATGGACTTTCCATTGATGACAAGCTTCCCGTTCTCAGCCTTGACTGTGCCTTTGAACTTTCCACGAGTAGAGTCAGATTGGAACATGTAGACCATGTAGTTGAGGTCAATGAAGGGATCACTGATGGCAAGAACATCCACTTTGCCAGAGTAAAAAGCAGCCCTGGTGATCAGGCGCCCAATGCGGCCAAATCCATTCACTCTGATCTTCACCCTCTTGTCTCAGGGTGGAGGCTGGCCCTGCACAGGGAGACCCAGCTGCCTGTGGAGCTGGAGGAGCAGAGAGCCAGGGGTGTGTTTTAAGAGCCTTATTCTTATTCTTATTCTTATTGGTGGGAATGCAGACTGGTGCAGCCACTATGGAAAGCAGTGTGGAATTTCCTCAGAAAGCTGAAAATGGAACTGCCTTTTGATCCAGTGATTCTCCTGCTGGGACTATACCCTGAGAACACCAAAACGCCAATACAAAAGAACCTATGCACCCCAATGTTCATAGCAGCACAATTTACAATAGCCAAGTGTTGGAAGCAACCTAAATGCCCATCAGTAGATGATTGGATCAAAAAATTATGGTACATATACACAATGGAATACTACACAGCAGAAAGAAAAAAAGAACTACTAAACTTCACGGCAGCATGGATGGAACTGGAAAGCATCATGCTAAGCGAAATAAGCCAGGGGGCGAAAGACAAATACCATATGATCTCACCTATAAGCGGAACCTAACCAACAATGCAAAGATGCAAGGAAAATATGACCAGCAACACTGAAAGGAAAATAAATCAACAGAGACAAGAGGGAAGGGGGGGGGCAGGGAAAGGGAAGGGAAGGGGAAAGTCAAGGAACATATAGCAAGGACTCATGGACAAAACCAAAGGGGAAGAGCTGAGGGAGGGAAGGAGAGAGGGGGCAAGGGAAAGTGGTGGGGGGAGGCAGAGACAAATGTATTTAAAAAGAAAAAACAAAAAAACAAAAACAAAAACAAAAAAACAAAAAAAAGAGCCTTAAACATGTTTATATTTTTGACTGAGTGAATATGGCATGAATTTACCTGAAATAAAAATGTGTGTGTTTTTAAAAATGTGTGTGAAATTAAAAAAATATATATATATATATATGGATACTTACTATTTATTTACAATAGTAAAAAAACTGAAAATGGCTTTTAAAAACTTTTAAAAATTATTACATCTAATCATATGGCAAAAAAACATATGCTATGGTATGTAAAATATTCTGATGGCTAAAATGGGCAGACTGGGAATATGGTAAATAAAAAAAAGCCTCTCCTGGAATTTCTCTGGGCAATAAATCTTTCAAGATTGCCTTTCCAGAGAATGTTCTGATTGCCAAAGGGAAGTAGGAGGTCATGCTGCTGGAATTAAGATTTAGAGAACAATATAACATGCAGAACTAGAAAGATTAGTCAATAAAGGAGTCTTTCCAATAAGGCACAATCTAGAATTATTTCTTTATACAGGTAAAGCAAAAGGAACAAATTAGTGTACTCAAACTTTCACTTATGAAAATGTCTTTATTAATAATGGCAACAATAAAATAATGAACTTCCAAATGACAGCAATGATGATTGCTTCTATGAGTTCAGGAATACTTTCAATGATTGACATTTTGTCAATTGCAATACATCTACATACATTTGAAAGACAGCGGTTTACATTTTCATGACACACTCTGCTTATTCCACCTGTCACCAAAGCATAGAATACTATATGAATTCGCTGATTTGTTTCAATAATTCCATGATCTCCTAGAGTGAATGGGAAACACTTGTACAGTTATTTGTGAGAAGAGAAACTGGAAAAATCCTCTTTTACCCCTTCTACTGGAAGAAACACACTAGATTAAAAAAAAAAGATCATAGCTGGTGCACTGAAAATGGCATAATCTCTGCTATCAGCAGAGTACCAGGAGAACACTCTCTAGTGGCCAGTGTGGTGACCTACCATTTCAGTTGCCCTGTGGCTCTTTCCATCTAATGAATCAATGACATTACTTGCTTCTGAGGAAGCAGAAAGGTGAAGACCAGCTATAGCCTTGGGCTAAGAACTAATCCGAAGTTTGGTTTTTTTTTTATTTACTCAAGGAAGGACTCACTTTCAACAAAAGGCTTTTGATTTATAAGAACAACTATAAAAAAGAAATGACCATATTTTGAAATCCAGAGGGACCTAAAAAATCTGAGCCAAATCTTGGAGGGTTAAATCACAGAGTTCATTAAAATTATACATCATAACAAGTAATGAAGGATACATGTGAGTAGTTGTAGTTTCTGGTATAGAAAGTTTGAGAGAAAAAACACGACCATCTTGCTGGACTACACCGCCTTCCTAAAAAGAGAGAGGGAGTGTATTTGTCTTCTTGGGCTGTCATAACATAATACCACAGACTAGGTGGGTTAAACAACAGACATTTGTTTTTTCACAGTTCTGGAGGCAGGAAGTGTAAGATCAAGGTACCAGAGAGGACAGTTTCTGGTGAGGCATTGCTTTCTGGCCTGTAGAGAGCTACCTCGTCAGTGTGTCCTCATTTGGTCTCTTCTCCATGCGTGTAGAGAGAGACAGAGAGAGACAGAAAGAGAGAGAGAAAGATCACTGGTGCCTTTTCCTCTTACAAGGACACCAGTCCTAATAGATTAGGGCCTTAGCCTTTTGACTTCACTTAATCTAACTACTTCCTTAAAGACCCTATCTCCACATACAATCACATTAGAGTTAGGACTTCAGCATATTTATTTTGAGGAGACACAGTACAGACCGGAATGTGGAGAACAGAAAAAAGGATCAGATGTAGGAGAGGTCCCTGAAAAGATTTTGGCTCTGTCTCTCCCAAGAGAAAACCTCAAGTCAGGTGCTGAGGGCATTAGATGGTGATTCAAGGGTAAATATGTGACCAGCTTCTTACCTGGGACTCTGAGAGGAAACAGGCTTGTAGAATACCTCTCCTTATCCTCAATGTGGAAACAGTACAATAAAATGATAGAGCAGAGCCGTTCCAGGAAGAGAAGAGAAATCTTATAATAGGCATCACTTATTCTTGCCAGGTGTCAATCAGCACAGTAAGCTTTGGAAAGGATCTAGAAAAGTTCTAAAAGCCTCATGAGGAAGTTGGGAAGAGAGCTGAAAATGGAGTGACGAATGTAGACAAGGACTGCTGCATGAACTGTTCAAGTTCTGGGTCAGCGGAAACATGGCTGAGCGAGGACCTGGAACACTGGGAAAAGCTGAGGGGAAGCGGCCAGAGTGGAAACAGCTGGATTCTACTACCAGTGTTTTTAGTTTTCAGCATAAAAGTTTTGCACATCTTTCATTACAGCTATTTCTAAGCACCTTATGTCTGTGATGCTAATGTAAATGGAACTGTTTCTTTAGTTTATGAAAACAAATTTTGTATTCACCTTGTATTTCACAGCCTTGTTAAATTCATGTATTTATTTCAGTAGCATTTTTAAATAGATGTTTTAGGATTCTTTATATATACAATAATGTCATCTGCAAATATAATTTTATCTTTTTTTTGTTTCTTTCTGTTATGTATTTCACTTTTTTCTTTCCATGATTTTCACTTTGAGCCTCATTGTTCTGGCTACCACTCTATCGCTATAGCAAGTAGCAGCAACAAGAGCAGATTTTCTCACTGTGTTCCTTTTCTTAAACTGGAAGATGCAATCACTAACTATGGAGTGTGATTATAGCAGTAGATTTTTAAATAAATGTCTCTAATCAGATTAAGTTTTCTTCTATTCCCAGTTGACTGTTTATAATAAATGAGCAATGATTTTTATCAAATTTTTCCTGCATTTACTGAGATAATCAGACATAGTTTTCTCCTTTGTTCTATTTATGTGGTGAATTGTATTTATTGGTAAATTTTAAGCCACCTTCCATTCCTGATATAAACCCCAAACCCTGCTTTGTCATGATGCATTATTCCCTTTACATATTGCTGAATTCTTTTTACTAATATTTTGTTAAGGATTTTTGAGTCTGTGTTAATGAAGAACATTTATCTATATTTTTTGTGTGTGTGTGATATCTTTGGTGTTAGCCTAACAGTGAGCTTATAAAATGAATTGGGCAATATTTTCTTCACTTTTGTTTTCTGAAAAATTTGTGTAAGATTAGCTTATTTTTCTTACTTAAATGTTTGGTAGTGACAAGAAAAAAATTCTGAGCTGGTATAAATTAAATTACAGCAGCAGAACAGAGAGAAAGATAAGAATAGTTAATAAATAACTGTGGGCCCTCTAACAGAAGACTGCTCACTTGCCTAAAGGTTTGTTGGAGCTTTGAATCACCCTCCAGATGTCTATAAGCAGACCACCAGGACCACCCCACCCTGCATATGCGTGAACTTTCAGGACTATTGCCTGTAACCAGTCAAAAGTAGTAAATATGTCGTCCTTACAGGTTGTGAATCTATCATATAACTGTCCCTGCTTCACATTATCCCACCCCCTTAATTGTATGTAACCAATGTAAATTCTCTCAAAATAACTTAAGTATTTCTTCCCCAAAACACAATTTGTAAAAATGCCCATTAACTCCAAGACTGCAGATCTGCTTGTTCCTTCTATCCAGCCCTACAGCTGGTGGTTTAGATGGCACACCCCAGGGCCTGGTCCTTTTCTGGCTAGCATATGGCTCAGTAAACTCTTTCCTTTAGAAAAGCTCTCAGCTGTGAAAGCTTTTTGTTTAATGTATCAGTTCACTGAGGAAGACATTTGAATCTAAAGTTGTCTCCAAGAAAAGATTAATTATGAATTTAACTTCCTTAATTGATACAGATATATTCATGGTTTTAAAACTTTTGACTCAGTTACTACCAGATGCTGTAACAAACTTTCAAGAGGAAATTCTTCTCAAGTCCCTCTTCACCGGGGATCAAATCCGCAACCCGGGTAGTTGTGCTGGCTGGGAATCGAACCCATTACCCTTCCATCTATTGGGCAATGCTCCAACCAACTGAGCCACACTAGCCAGGGCTCTTTTGTTCTTTCTACTGAATACAGGGACTGTGAACAAATTGAGTTCAGCTATATAAAATTGTCTACATTTATAGTCTGTCCGTATTGG